TCAGGGCTGGGGGCACCAACCATTGCTCCTTTTTGAGACCACTCACACGGGCAGCGGCCCCACTTAAACAAAGCAAATTGGACTTTGGTTCCTCCAGTTCCCCAAACCTGTTCTTGAGCCCTCAGTGCCTGCATATATGCCGCAAATACTTTTCAGAGGAAGAACAAACTTGCCTAGTCCCTCCTAAAAATCCTGCTTGAAAGTACAAGCCAGTGACACTGAGGTCCTTCGAGCCCAGTCAAACAATAAATGTCAGGAGATGGCTTAATTTAGCCATCCTAAATTGCCGTCAGCCTGAGCCTGAACTGAGGAACCTTCTTCTCTGCCACATTTAACGGCTCCTTCTGAGCTAAATGTTGGTTTCTGTGGTTTGTGTTGGATTGCGCCTTCTGAAAGTCTGACTACAGCCATCTCACTGCAACATTTTTCATCAGAGAGAGCAAGCTTTATATCTGCAAGGGAAGCTGGGTCTACCTGATTTATTTGCTATTTCCCTCCAATCCAGCCACAGTCTCACCAGACAGCTGTACGAATACATGTTCTCCAATACAAGCTACACAGAAGAACAGAAATATGGAATCAGATATCTGAGGAAAGGAATGTGCAGTCAGATGTGTAAGCGGACTTTAAAATGCTAGCGAGGTGATGACATTCCTACATAGCTACAAAGACACCATGCCTTAGCTAAAGAACAGAGATCTTTTGGAGAACCATGTTCTATGTTGTTTAATTAATCTACTTTCAACAGTTTAGCAGTTAGTGCTTAGATGATGAATCCCCAAGCAAGTGGGTAACAGCAATCACTGTGCACTGGGATTTTCTGAAAAAAATCTGTATTAGCCCAATGCATAAAAACAGAAAAATACAAAGTGACATAAAGACAGTATTAAAATACTCAGATCATCTAAATGTGAACGCTAGTTGGATGGGGACTGTCTCTGTGACCCTCAGCAAGATATATAAGATATCTACTCCATCTATCTCAGTTTACATCTGCATGAAATGGGAATAATATTGACTATGAAATCAGCTACCACTAGTTTGTCTACTAACATTTGTCTGTCTCTTTGAAGATAAGGTGACAATTACTAGTAGAACATCTCATCAAGAATTTCATCATAGATTGCAAGTTTTGTTTCAAGATGAAGACATCAAAATGCACACAGGACAATCAGAGCCTATCGTGTATTTTAAAGAGTTTTTCTTTTGCCAACAAATAGAACAGCAAATGGGTTTTCCAAACCTTAATTACATAGAGTCTCCCATGTTTTATTTCAGTATGTCTTTTGAAGATCCTGGATTGGGAAAATACTCCAGGCATAAAATAAATTCCACCCATGAGAACTGCTGCAATGAAATGCAAAAGAAAACAGATTATAGATTGCTCAGAAACAGAGTATGTGTTCTCCGAATTTCTCTGAACAAGGCTCCCCTTTTTTGGAGGGCATTATGCGTGTGTCAATAACCCCAAACACAAGCAATGGCAGACATCTTCATGTCATGTGCCCAAAACTATTTGCTAATTTACTCAAAGATGGTACCCCCTAGTTCCATATCTAACTACTGGGATGGCTTTTTCTTTCTTCATGCTGCCACAAATAGATTGACGATACTAAGCAGTCTCAAAGGCAAACTTAATGCCATAAATTACATATATGACGAAAGAGATAGTTTGGCACCTGGCTCTTTTCCATTCCTCCACAAACCTTCTGGTACTCCTTCTAAGCCCTGGGTGCTCTCACTTGTTCCTTCCCATCATCCCTTCCCCTTTCTTATAGCTTCGGGTGACTTCCACATACTGTTCTCCCTCCTGCTCCTTACAGACTCCTCTTGTGCCCTACAGATATCGCCACATGACAGAATGGTAATATTTGCATGGTGGACAAGTGACTCAGGTGTATGGTGATTTGGGAAAACTTATTGTGAAATCAAATTAATATTTCTCTAATTTTTAGTTTTCTTTATTGACAGTGGTTTCATGTGCCAATTCTGGCACAGATAGCACATGTTCACCATCATGATGCTGGACTGCAAGGGTCCCTGAATGTACCTTTCTCTTGAAGGGGGAAAAAGTGGTATCACCCAAGATCTGCTTGCTTAGGCATGAAAATGAGACATTATTCATGGCAAACTGTTCATGTCTATAACAGAATCGTAGAATCATAGAATCATTAAGGTTGGAAGAGACCGCTAAGATCATCAAGTCCAACCGTCAACCCAACACCACCATGCCCACTAAACCATGTCCCTAAGCGCCTCATCTACACATCTTTTAAATACCTCCAGGGATGGTGACTCAACCACTTCCCTGGCAGCCTGGTCCAATGCTTGACAACCCTTTTGGTGAAGAAATTTTTCTTCACGCCCAATCTAAACCTCCCCTGGTGCAACTTGAGGCCATTTCCTCTCGTTGTATCCCTTGTTACTTGGGAGAAGAGACCGACCCCCACCTTGCTACAACCTCCTTTCAGGTAGTTGTAGAGAGCGATGAGGTCTCCCCTCAGCCTCCT